ATTATTTTTTTGAAATAAAAATATGTTGTCATTTTCATAATTTTCGACCGTTCTCTGTTTCCAAAAAAGAAACACAATGTTGTCAAGTAAGTTTTGCTGTAGATATTAACACATTCTGTAATTGGCTGTTTAAATTTTTTAATATTTTCATAATTTGGGAAACTGTATAACATTGAAACTCCTATACCCGAAAAATTGTAAGTAAGCTCTTGTCTGTTTTTTTTTATCTCACAATGTCGGGTATAAGAAGTTATATAGAAAAAGTTAGTATTCAATATCATCTAGACAAAAAACAAAAACATTTGATTTTCCTAAAGGTTTTGGCTTTGGTAATTATATCCATTTGCCACAGATAAAAACAAAAACATGTTTAAATGAATATATTAAATAAATTATGACCATTCTTTAACAGAGATATATTTATTTGTAGGTATTATGAAAATAATGTTTATGTCAACAAACTTATGTTCGATATTTGTATCAATTTGTAAAGATAACTCTTGTTTAATGATAATATTAATATTTAAAGGTTTTAAATAAGAACTTGAAGATATCACAGTTCGAAATTCCTTTTATTGACCATAATACTTTTTTTTTGGAATGGAAGCATTAGTTCCCGTTTTTCAGTTAAGCTCCTTAAATCAATTCATATTTTAATCTAAACGCTATTTATGCGCAATAAAAATACAACAATTAAAACATATAGTGAACTTTTCGAAAATTTCTAAGTTAAAATGAAAATCAATTTATATTTAAAATTAAATAAGTTTGCTAAAATTTTTGACCGTAGGATTTAGCAATACATAAAATATTTTAGATGTTTTACAAATTTCTCCAAATTTTAAAGCAATGACTCGTTTTCGTCTTTTATTGTGCCACAATGCACAATCGTTTTTTTCTCATCTATAGACATTGGCTTATATTTTAGAAAATCTTCTCTTGCAACGCGCCTCAAAGAGTGCGACAGATCAAAGCCACGTGCGAAAAAAGAAAAATAATTTACATTACTTTAACGGATTGAAGAGTTGTTAACATGCTGGAATTAATATTATTGTTAACTCGAAGAGGTATTCATTAAACAAAAAAAAAAACGTGCGATATAAAAGTTAAACAAAAACAAATTTTCATAATTCACATCTCAGTGTATACCTTTTAATTTCGGATAATTTTTTTTAATAAATAAATGGTAAAATTATTTTAATATAATTGAGCGAAATTACTGTAAAAAATAACAAAATGAATTCAAATCACTAAATAGTAGAAAAAGATATATATATTTTGTTGGTGTTACCCTCTAGACGAAAAAGCTTTCAATGTATTTCTATTTTTATTGTAAGAAAAATAAATGCTCCTGTAGGCAAAATTTAAATATATTGTTCCCTTCTAGCATTTTTTAACATTTCTATTTCTTTTCTTAGATTTTTTTTCGGAAGAGACTGATTCAAATTTTTAAAGTGACTCCAGAGAGGTACGGGTTTAGCCTTTACCTGTACTTAAATAAATTTTCTTTTGGTAAAAATAAAAAATAATCCGTAAACTTAGTGTACTATGAACCCTTGCATATATGCCAATCCTAGTATTACAGAACTGATTTACGTAAAAAAATAAGGTGTACAAATAGGTAAAATTTATTTATCCCTCGTAAAACATCAGTAAAATATATTATAAATTATAAATGTAAGGGTTTCGTAGTACCCCACTTTTAAAGTTTATTTTTAACTATTTTTAAAAGAAAAATTGAGAAAATGGGTAAAAAAGGTCGAGTTTTGTATTTTTTTTTTATAAAAAACTAAATCAAATTTTGAAAAAGTGTCTCCAGAGGAGCACAGATTTAACCTTTACCTATGCGTACATATTTTTTTCTTTCAGAAAAAGTCAAAAATAAACTTTAAAAGTGGGGTACTACGAAATCCTTGCCTGCTCCGCGCTACAGCCAAGTAAATACTCCTCTTAAAAAATATTAATATTTTGTGCATGCAATTCATTAATATGCTTGTTTATATTTTCGACAATATTGCCACCATTACACGCGATTTTAGAAAATGGCTCATCCTTATTAGTCCTACGAATTGCATGCAGCCTTGCAAGTAAAGCATACCCACCTGTTTCGCAGTTTTCAGTTCCAGAATGTAATAAATTTAAACATTGCAATTTTTGAACGTCCTTTGAATTTGGACCGATGTAGGGTTTACACAGTTACCATCATGGAGGAAGGATAATTAAGAGTTGCAGATTCCTCACAGAAATTTGGCAGCATGTTTACCTTCAGCGACATATGGAATAGTTTTGTGCAATTAATACTCAGTCGGTAATATAGAAAGATGTAATGCTATTTTAGCTTGAAAATTGGCGGGCTTTTGAATTTACTTCGACAAAATATCTCCATTCGGGAGATGTTTAAAATATAACATTTTACCTTAAATCTTAATAATATACCTACATAAGTAAATATAAATTGACGCTAAACTTTACGTGACGTTAACTAGGCACCTACCTACATCTTACTAATAGCTTTATAACTGACAAACTGACCAATAACCTATGATTTTTTTATAAAGTATACCATACATACCTAATAAGATCTTTAAGAAACCGAAAAAATCTTTTAATACAGTTTATTCATATAGTTTTTTGCTGCACAACTTTGCCCAGACATAGTAAAACACTTAAAAGTTAACAAATTAACACTGGAAAACAACTACTATATAAAAAGTGTCAAAAAATATATATAATTCTAAAAAAATAACAACTACATAATACAAACATCACAAACAAAATAAATTTAAGATACACGCTACTGATTCCGAGCTGCTGCAACTTGTTTGTTTTTGTCGATATAAACGACGACAGTGACGCCACTGGCTTGATTGAGAGGTTGGACCCCAAAATGGCGGGGTGCGCGTAGCGTTGCCGCCAAGACAAGTTAGCCTGCCGATTGTTTCTTATGCCGTGTTATAGATACAGATGTTACCTTACGTACAGTCAGACCATTTGCTCAGGCCTGACGAGAGAGGGAGGTAGGGGGGACAAATTTCCAGGGCCCGGCAGCCTTAGCTAAGGACGTATTTTTTTTTTTAGAAGTTCGTCACAAAAGGGAGGACCCGGTTTACGAAAAATACAAGATGAGGACTTTTTTTAGAAATGCAACATAGAAAGGACTTGATTTTTTATAAAAATGCACCGGGGCCCACCATGGCTGTCGGCGGCCCTGCGTTTGCTGCTGCAACTACCAGTTCGTCTTCTTCTTTCTTACATACACAACAAAGCAAGTGATGGGGTTGTCCCAGTAGCTACTGCTGCAAAAAGACAACGTTCCAAGAGTAATCCTCATATACAAATTTCGAGGAAACACACCTAGAAATTGTATAATGGGTTTGAAATCTCGCCTGTCTACGGAAGAGAAAACCATTCCTTATAAATGGATAATACGTATGGCAAAAGCAACTTTGTTTTCTTTAGGTTTGTTCCAACAATGATCAGAAACCAGTCACTGACACCAGGATTCTGCGCAGTATATGATTTGGCGATCCAAATAATCTACTGCACAGAATCCTGGTGTCAGCGACTGGTTTCTGATCATTGTTGGAACAGACCTTTTATAACCAACATTATGTCAATTATTGGATAAATATATGTCAACCTATGGTACTTGAAATATACAAATATACATCGATTTTGATATATAAACAAAATTAAACATAAAACGGTTTATATATCAACCTATGGCGAAAAAACGGGTCGATTTTTGGGTAAATTGATATTTATGGCTGATCTTAGGATCTTTTTCAGTGGTCACCAAATTACTTCTCATTTCTGTAATAGCTATTTATGCAACCAGTTACGGCATGCCTTATTTTATGTAACGAGTGAATATTTGAGTATTTGCAGGACGAGTAGAGCGAGGTTCACAAAACGGCATTTTGTAACGTGTTACATACAATATTTTTTTTACATTTAAATAAATTATTTATTTTGGTAAAAATTACTGATATCTGTGCAACCAATATTACTTTCTTGTATTGTTAGTTGCATATGCATAACTTTTCATTTTATTGACAAATTGAAAATAATATGTTAAACAATATGCAACTGGTTGCATAAAGTAGATAGTTTTGACGCTTGATGCAATTACAAAAATATTAAAAAAAATATTATATGCATTTATATATCATGCCTAAATGAATGTGAAATACTTAATGAAACATCTCGAAATTTTTACTTTAAAATATAAACAAATTAAAATCCAAAATATTCTTAATGTGTCAACTATTGGTATATTTACCTGTCATTTGTTGCTTCTTTTTTAACTATATTTTGCCAAATTATTTAATTCAGTGGTTTTTAAACTTTTTTGGCGACGGAACCTTCTTGAAAAGCAACATATTTGACGGAGCCCTAAACACATTTCTGAAAAACAAAAAGTCCTCAAGTAAAACATATCCTCTTTCTCTTAGTAACTTTAAAAAAAGGGCCTCAAACCAAGTTCCTTTTTTTATTATGACTATTATTTTCTTCGCGGAGCCCCCACAAAGTTTTGCGGAGCCCCAAGGGACCGCGGACCACACTTTGAGTAACGCTGATTTAATTTAATATCTCTCATGCGCAAAACACGTTTCCACGTTTAAAAAGTTTGGACATGTCCACTTTTCAGACTTGCTCGTGGGACATGAATCTAGTTGAACAATCGGTATAAGGATATATTTAACCTAAGAAAGCTTTTGTTTTGGAAAAATTATGATTGCTTAAATGATCTGTCGTATAAACGAAATGGTAATTAGCTAGCGAAATATGTTTGAAGATATTTGCTAATTGCTTGAAATAACATTTTAAATTGTTAATGAATTAATTTTAAAGCATGTCAGATACAATCTTAAGATAGTAGTATAAAACAAAATAAATAAGACATCTTAAAGGAAATAATAATCATTATAAAACTAAATTATTGGCTAGAATCTTGAATTTTTATTTTCCGATATCTTAAATTCTAAATATTTTCACAAACTTAATGTCAATTAAAATAAATAAAAATACATATAATGTTTACCTATTTAATATAACTAATAGTTTGATACTAGTACAATAGGAATAAAAAAAGAAATTAAATACGTTTATATCTAGAAGTATTCTCAATATACTTGGTTTGAGTCAATGCACGTCTTCCTCCTGTTGGATCCATCATTCTTTCCCAATCAGTATGACCTACCACAAATCCAATTGCTCTCATCTTCTCCAATTCCCTCTGCTCCTCCAAATCCGCCCACCGTACCTAAAATAATTAATAAAGGTTTGTAAATATATTTTAAAAATGATCGTTAACAGTCACACTATTGCAAATGTCTTAAAAGAGCCCAAAAATCGTTGCAATTACCTTTATGACCAAGTAATTAAAAAAGGAAATAATTCCAATCTCAAATGTGACCGAGATGTATAACACATCAAACAAATCTCAAAGCCATAGTCACAATATATGTGAAAAAAGCAGATAAAAAATAGCTGCTTTTTTTGACTTAATTCAATACCTGGCGAGGTATTAGCCAAAGAAGTAGTTCTTAAATGAGTAAAACCAAATTTGGTATATTTTCACAAAACTTTTATTTAAAAAAAAACACTACACATGTGTTAAATAAGTTTTGTGAAAATCTAACAAATTTGGTTTTACTCATTTAAGATAATATGGATTTTCATCAAGTAAAGGCTGAAACAATAAAGAAGTAGTTGTTGTCAAAAGAGAAACGGCCGCACATATATTGTGACTATGGCTTTGAGATTTGTTTGATGTGTTTTAAGCAAGTAATAATTCAAAGGACCCCTAACTAATCATATGAGAAATGGCTTTCCATGACATTTTTTTAAAATTCAGTTATGTAGATATGTACCACCAACCGTTTGGATAATAAAAGGGTGTTGCATATAAACTTTTTTGATATTGACTCAAATCCCATTTTAGCCCTTTCGTATTGTCTCCAATTGAAGAATATCAGATTTTTTTGCAATTATTAATATTCAATAACTTGCTTTTAAAAAATAGTTTTTTATTTAAATTATAATTTGTCTAACTTCAGAAACACATTTTTATTTGAAATGTATATCCACAGAAACCTATTTTTTCATATGAAGGGTAAAGGGAAAAAAGACGATGTCACAAAACAGAAAATTGCGTTTATAATTAATATTATTACCAAATCTTATGTTACAGTCATAAAATAAATAAAACTGCAAGTTAATATTTTTAATTTATTTTTATTTTATTACTGCATAGTTAACTTGTTACAAAAGAATTTAAACGTAAGATTATTATATTCAGGTTAAAAAAAATAAACGTGACAAATAACTTGTTAAAAAGGAATGATTTTCATTTTTAACCGACTTCAAAAAAAGGAGGAGGTTATAAAAACTCACCTAAAATAAAGAGATTTTTAGTTGTATAACAATGTTTCATAAAATTCGTTAGTATTTGGGTGACAAAATCGTTTTTGTACTTGCAAATCGTTGTATTTAACCTGGACAACATAGGTTTTTTTTTCAGTATGGCGAGGACAACGTCCGTTTTTAACCATTATGATTATTTTTAAATGCCTTATTATTCGGACCTCGTTTATTTTATTTGCTTACAATTTAGCATGTGTTTGGGACTCAGTTTCACAAACATAAAAGTGCATTACCTTAAAATTCCTATAAAATGGACATCCTTGGTTTTTCCCCTTACTCTTCATATGTTCTACACAAAGTCATCCTTTTTTATATTCTGTGGGAAAACCTATTAAGGTCCTTGTAGTTTTTTGATATAGGATCTTGGAGAAAAATATTTTGCCACGTATGTAAGTATAAAATATATACTATTTTAGTTACTTTTTCACAACTAGTTACATTTTCAGTTCGCTTACATACAAAAAAAAATTTTTTAGTAACAATATACAAGGTGTTCCCCATTTAAAATTGAACATTTATTTGTTTCATTTTTCAGCCCACATTTTTCAATAATCAAGCTTTAAGTTGAATCCCTGTATTCTAGGTTTTGCAGAATATGTTCATAATTACCTCAATAATAGAGCTTAAAGACATATTTGATTTACCTAATAAAAATAGCCCTGATGAAGTTGTATGGTACTAATAAGAAAGTGTTTTGACAATGTGCAAACTACTCTTTTAAATATGATTAATTCATCACTTATAACAGGTAAAATGCCCATTGATACTAAAATAACAATAATAGTACGAGCGCCAAAGGTGGCTAAGTCTTTATAAGCCTCTGCAGCGCTATTCTTGATATCCTTCGCAAATACACGTATACTCAACCTTGCAAAGGGTTCATTTACGCATACTTCTACATTCTAAATTTGGCAACGTTACAATTATAATAAAATGACACGCTGAATGACCGCATGATATTAATATTTTGTATTATGAAATGACAGTTTTCATTATCTGACTGCATTTAGCTCTTTAAAATTTCTTAGAAAATGTTAAATTTGTTAAAAATAATTTGGTTCATTTAAAGCACTGCTGATTTCTTTAGGGCATCTGTATACTGATGCCCGAGAAACTGATACAGATAAACTATTACCAAGGTCCATGTTACAGTTTCCTGGCACAAAAAAAAAACCCTAAAGCTACTATTAAACAAATAAATGAAATACGATAACTTCTATTTAATCTGAGGTCTCATATAGGGCGAGAGTGTATTTATTAAAAATAGACACAATTCCTTTGAAATTCTAAATGTCTGTACAAAATGATGTTCATTTAAAATATAAAATTATTATTCTGGAACGAATTAGGTCTTTGCACTGATATAACCATAGTATAATCGTATTATCAAGGTTTTTATTAGGTCTAATACGAGTATCCATTAAAAAAATCTCTTAAATTAAAAACTAAACACATATGACACAAGTCAATTCATTAAACGCACACGCAAATAGTTTGCGATTGATAATACCCACTCGCAGTTTTATGCGAGTACTCGAATGTGTTGCGTATAACCAAGAATACACATTTTGCTATTTCGTTCGTAATGTCAGAAATTACGAGTGACCTTGAAATTTGCGAGTGGTCAAGAATAGGGCTGCTGATCTATGCTGTGGGAAAAGGAGTTAAGAGAGTTGTGTTTGAATAGTTGGTCGATTTTCTTGAATCTAATGAGAAAATAACGATTTTCCAAACAGGTTTTTGGAGCAAATATACAATGTGTGCTTGCCGAGTGGAAATTAAACATACAAAATAAACATATACACTTGCAGTATTTTTGGATTTACAAAGGGCATTTGAGACAGTAGATAGACATATGTTAACTAAAAAGTTGAAAAATATTGGTATTGATAGTGTGACATTACAGTGGTTGGCAGATTACCTAGATACAAGATCGCAAAAGTTAAAAGCAAATAACACAGTAAACTGTGTTGGGTCCGCTGCTGTTCCTAGTTCATATTAATGATATTGTGGAGGTTGTAAATTGTAAAATTCATCTCTTTGCTGATGCCACTCTAATTTATTGTGATAGCTTAAAAGTTCATGATTGTTTTACAACTATTAATAATAATTTGGAATGTATATATAGCTATGTTGTGCCAATTTTTTAAAAGTAAACATACAAAAAACTTAATAGATGTTTATCGGATCTAGTACTGATACAGGAACAAATAAATTATACATTGGCAAAGAAGTAATAACAGAGGTTACGAAATACACATATCTAGGAGTAATTATAGGTAGGAAATTGGGATTCAAAGAACATTCTATTTAGTAAAGTAATTATTATTTACAATATTAATCATCTTAGTAGGTGCAGTAGATAGCTTAGTCAGTGGGTAAAAGTCACTATTTATAATACTTGTATACTTCCCCAATTTAATTATTGCTCAAGAGTCTTATACTTGTTTAATCAAAATGAAATGAATAGATGCAAAAATTACAAAACAAAAGTATGAGAATAATACTGGTATGTTTTCTTCTTATACCAATAAGAGAAATATTTCTAGAACATCAACCCAAAATAATGGTTTTGTAAAGGATTGTGTGACTACAATGGCTTACCCAGTGAAATAAAAAACAGTTCTACTTTGGATATACTTAAGCCTAAATTAAAAAGATTTTTTTTGAACCGCCAGTTTGTAATATACCTTGATTAGTTTATTATTAATATTATTATTATTTCTAGTGTAAATGGTCAAATTATTTTAATATTTGTGTAATTTTTAAAATTGTTATAGAAATGATGTACATTTTTCCATATTCATTTAAGTAGGATATACTTATATTTATACAATTTGTACCTAATTAATTAGTTTCAAGACTAAATAAATGATTTTTATATTATACCCAGATTTTCTTTGTATACCTATTAATATTTAATAGCCAACAAGTTTGTCTAATACAGGAAAATATAGATATGATGTAGTGTGTTTTAAAGGGTGGCTACAGGGATTTACATGGTAAATCTTGCACAATTTCAGACTTAACATTTAATATTTTAATATAGCAGGGATAAGAAGTTGGAAAGGCTTTTGGTAGGTAAAGAGGTGGTAAACGTCAAATTCCGTCGGACGACTTCGAGAATTTCACGGTGATATTTCTTCGGCAGTGTCGTACCGTAGAATAAAAATAATACCAAATATTTTAAATTATTACGGAATCAGGGAAACGTGTCTATTTATAGGCTAAAAATAATTATTTAAACAAGTAATAATATTCCAAATCATAATTCTAAAAATTTAAACAGTTTTAAACTGTAATTAGGATTTATTAAATAATTTTCTACGCCAATGTTTCTCGTTCACTTCTGTTAGCTCCGTGACAAAACTGTCAAACTAGGTGTATGAAGTGGGAGAACTGGCGAAAGCCTTTATAACTTGTACCTGCTATAAGAATACGAATTATGTGGAAATATACAGTAAAGATCTACATTGATGTAGGTTGCGATAGAACTCATTCCTTAATACTTATTTCAATCAGATGTTTAGGAGTTTTATTTTCGTCATTTAAGATTTGTCAGATAAAAATTAAATATAGATTTTTAAAAAGGTAATATTAATAATTTGACAAATGAAGTAGCAAAAATAAAGTATCAAAAATAAATTAAAGTAGCAAAAATAAAGTAATGTGAAAGGAAAGTGATCAAATTCATGTGTCACCAGGGCTAAGAACGTCGAAAAACCGGTCTTAGAGGTATCCCTCCATCACAACATCAGTGCCGCTTTGCGTCAGCTTTAAAAACTCAAGGATCTTTAGTAAATTGGGTTAAACTGTGCAATGTTGCATGCAATACATAGAGTATGAAAAATCGGAACCATTAAAGATAACTGTAACGTGGCCAATACGTACTACCCGTGACTGGTTTCTTCTCAAAGCAATACAGTAACTTCAATACGCGTGTTTAGTGCGCGTCACAGTTTGAGGAAGGTCATAGCACCGGATGCCAACACGAGATCCAGAACGTCAAATCTCATTAATGTCCTTAAGAATAACACAGTGGTCATTGAAATTATTGAAGCATAAGTTTGAAAATGAAAGCAATTTAATTATTTAACATATTAGAACATATGTATGGTAAGGTAATAAAGTTTATATGTTTTTCTTTGGATTTCATAATTTTTTTTTTTTTTCAGGAAAGTATTTATTTGTCTTCGATTTGAAGAATTTTAACACAGCCTACTCAAACCCTGGTTTTTGAAGTGAATATAATTTAATTAATTTACACATTCAAAACATATAAAAGGTAAGTTGATAACATTCACATGTAATTCTATCAATTTCATAATCTTTTTTACAGGAAAAGAATTATTTTTCCGTGATTTGAAAAATATTAACCCATCTTGTTTAAAGGGTAAATTTTGAAATGGATTTTAAAGCAGTAGCACATGTCCCAGATGCCAAGTGATTTGCTACCTTGTAGCCCATTACAATATTTACGCAACTGAGAAGGCCCTGAAGAAGCTTAAAATGCTTTTGATCCAAGGTACATCATGGGTTTGCAATTTATCATATTTGTTGTATGGCCATAATCCGTAGAGACTGAATGGGATCCTAATTTAAACATTTTATTGACAAATTCATATCGGCTGTTTTCTTTATTCTTTTTTATTATTGAAAAAGCACTGTCAAAATAGTTACAATTTAGATACTGAATTATTATTTATTACTACACAAATATTTGATAATTTATATTATTATATAATAAAACTACTTAAATTTTTTTAAATTTATTTATTTATTTATATTGCAGAGCAGAGTAAACTTTCAAATATTTAATATATCATTTTCACAAATATGTGTTTAAGAAAAATGCAGAGGCATAGTTCTTATCATTTGGTATGACCTCTCCACTTTCAGCTTTGATCATAACAAAATCTAAATCAAATATTTTTCTTCAAGAGGATTAAAATGTGCTATCGATTCCATAGGCGCAATAAAGCTCACATTCTACTTCCTAGTAACATACAATAACTCTTGAGAACTTATATCGAGGGCCACAATGCAGGCTATCATTTCCACTGAAAATTATATTTTATGATAATCTTGTTTAAAACATTTCGTTCCATCTACTGTATAGGGGAAGTATTACAATTTTTGAACAAAACGGGTATATATTAGTCCTATTATAGAGTAAAATGGATTGTTCTATATGTAAAACATTTTTGTCGATTTTGTGGCTTAGGAAGTCCTGCCTTGTGGCCCTCGATATATGTCTCACCTGCTTCTTTTCTGGTCCGACCCAGCCATTGATTTATCTTGTAAATATTAAATTATTTTCACTCTCACAATCAGGAATAAGGTTAAGTTTCTCAAATCGCTGAAATAGAATTTTTCCGGAAAAAAAAATATGAAATCGATAGAATTACATGTAAAGGTCATCAACTTACCGTTTATATTCTTTGAATGTGTCAATTAATTAAATTATATCCACTTCAAAAACGAGGGTTTGAGTAGGCTGTGTTAAAATACTTCAAATCGAAGACAAATAAATATTTTCCTAAAAAAAAAATTATGAAATCCATAGAGAAACATATAAACTTTATTACCTTGCCATCCATATGTTCTAATATGTTAAATAATTAAATTGCTTTCATTTTCAAAATTATGCTTCAATAATTTCAATGACCACTGTGTTATTCTTATGGACATTATTGACATTTGACGTTCTGGATCTCGTGTTGGCATCCAGCGCTATGACCTTCCTCAACCTGTGACGTTTTGCCTAAACACGCGTATTATATATAAATATACTGAACAACTGTTTGAAAAAAAAAAATATATATATAATAGTTTTTAAGTTCGGTCATTCGGAGAAAATCGTACCCAGAACCATATAAGGTGTATTTATGTGAGTTTTAGGTACCAACACATAAAGCGAAGACTTCCACCTCCTGCAAGTTTCTCCCCTTTGAGAGTTCCACTACTGGGACTCGGAAAAGAGTATACTCTTCGGTAGGAAACATACGTGAACAAACAGACAACTGACGACACACGTTGCACACTGTTGGCTCATCCGGTTACCGTCAGAGGGGTCCAGATGATCACTCACTGAGCAACGGAAAACAACTCACCAACAAACCGCGAATGTATAAATGAGAGAGTAAATGCATGAGTTTTAGGTCCTCAACCAACTCTTATTAAATGACGATAACGCCTCAACCTTCACCGCTCAACCGAAGGTCAATCAAATGCTATTGACATGAGGACCAAGCAGCGGATGAAAAAGCTTGGGGGTGGATGGAAGGTTTCGATCCAGTTTACCAGGATGGGAACTTATTCGACTCAGGACTGTTACTGTGTGCGTGCGCGTGAAATAACTATTTAGGAATGAGTTCTATTGCAACCTACACATCTTTACTGTATATATCCACATCCACTCTCTATTTTCATATTCATATTTACATATTAAATGTCCTGTAGCCGCACTTTAAAACATACTGTACATCATACCAATATGTTCCTGTATTAGATCAACCTTTTTGATTATTAAATATGAATAGGTATAGAAAACAAACGATTAAAAACAGGAAAATATATGCTCTATATTATTATAATAGGTATTAAAAATCTGGAATACAATGACACAACTTAAATCTTGCATTATTGAAAAATCTGAGCTGAAAAATGAAACAAACGTTATTATATTTAAGACTTTAAATAGGGAGCACCCTGTATTTTGGCACTGAAAATATTATTTTAAATATAAGCGTACTGAAGATGTAACTAGTTGTGAAAAAATTAACTAATATAGTTTGTAAATGAATACATAAGTGACAAAAAAATTCTCCAAGGTAACCACGTTGTATCAAGAAACTAAAAGAACCTTGATAAGTTTTCCCACAAAACATGAAAAAGGATGGCTTTGTGTAGAACATATGAAAAATATAAAAAATGAATCAAACGAACAGTTTTGTGGAAATGCATTTTAAAAATGTGATTTGTCTAAAGTTAGATAAATTATAATTTAACGCTCTGTATACAAATAAAGGACAATTTTGTAACAATAAGTGTCACATATTCAAGGAAATGTTAATGAACATTGATAATTACAAAAAAAAAAACTGGTCTTTTTCAATTAGACGCAATACGAGAGAGCAAAAATGAATTTGAGTCCAATATCAAAAAGTTCATATTCAACACCCTGTTTTATTCAAACGGTTGGTGATATGAAGTTGCGGCAAAAGTGACTTTTGATCAGGATGTCTTTATCTACAACATATGGGATAAGAGGTTTTAATTGGCAATAACATTTTTGAGATTTTTAATACGTTATAGTTATTCGATGACAAAAACATTACCATGCACCGTGTCGAAAGAAAAAATAAAAAAACATGTCTAGTACCTCCTACTCTGCTTGCTACCTTACTTCGTTCACTGCCTGATCTACTCTGCTTCCTCGTCTGACTCCTTTTTCTGCACAATAATTCTCCTTTCTTTTATTAGACTCACCCTCCCTTTTATTTTAATGAAACTCTTACCCGTCTTTTTTATTCCTTCAATTTATCGCTACCATATACAAATCTTCAATTTTAATACGAGTATCTATTTATCTTAACTTCAACATTATTCAAAATTTCCTCTCTGACAATCTATTTCCCAATTCATTTTCTAATCCCACTATCATTGACGTCAGGCCGTTTCGAATAACTTATAGACACCAGAGGTCCAATGACGAATCATAATATATTTATATGTACTCAAAACGTATATATCAAAATCAATGACAAACTATTTATTTGGCACACAAATTATGTCACACTAATGCATCTAATTTAAACAGCATTGTTCGTTAATTTACTTTAAATCAAGTTGGAGGATGTATGCATTTAGTGTGAACTAAATTGAATGTTCATATTTTCACTTAATAATTTAGTCAGTGTATACGATTACTAGTAAATGTATATATATATTCACGGATTTTACGATTTAACTGTAACATACAATTATAATCTTTTTAGATCGCTTCGACAGGAAAGGAAGCGGCCGACCATAAGACAAATTTATTTAAGGAAGAATTTGACAGCCAAGTTGTATGGTCGAGAAGACTTGAATATAAATGTTTCCAAAAAACGGCCCAAGGTGGGTCGAAACTCTTAAATGTAATCAATTACAACGAAATGCATATTTACTTTTATAACAAATATATACCCTTTTTATTGTACTATACTCAAACTGTGAGCATAAGCGATACAGTCGATACCATGACTATACAATTTAAATATTAGTGAAATTTAATAAAGCAACTGTGTTGTATTTATTTTTCTGTAGGATTCATTCAATGACTATGTTTTTTAAAAGTCGATTCTTTGTTGCTAAAAATGTTGTAATTACTCTGCGTTCGTGAATATTATTAACATTCTTTGAGGCATACATATTAAAGAAACTATTCGTTTTAGAATTGTAATCGATCAAATTCACAGTATGAGATAGAGAAGTAGATTTGCTTTTTTTATACATCAATAATTATTGTTCCTTACCCTCTTCTTCCCCGAGGTTGTCGATTTCGGGGGTTCCCACTGGCTGTCCAGTTGGAGGTATTCTTCCATGGTTCGCGATTTTCGGATGGGTTTGCTGACTCCATCGAGTTTTGCTGCAACAGAATAAAATAATAACTAAAGAGAAATAAAAAAACTACATATATAAATTATTCAGCACAGTATCACTACAGAATATTGCAAAGAATAAAAATATTTCATTACATTTTTAAGAGTGGACCAAATAAGTAAGCCTTAATGATTTTGATAAGTTTATTTAACTAATATATACTAAATGACATAGAAAACGGAACATTTAGCAGCAGTGATGTTATCAATTTCCTTTGGACAAACAAGTTGCTGATTAGAAGAGATAGGAGCTATTAAATTTTCAAAGCTGTGCTGCATAACTTGTGTATGTACAGGAAACTAATAAAATGAAAACGCTTATGCCATGGGTTCTATTTTCTATGTCAGTTAATATATTTGATTTTTATATTTTTATTTTAGAAATAGCTGTTCAATTATTTTTGTTTATAAACCGGTTTCTTAAGAAGATGGCAACATACCAATATATAGACGGAAAAAAAAAACAATTAGTTGGAATGGCAGGAACAAATAATAAATAAATGTGTTTGGATATGTATACCAATATGAGTCATAACATTAAAAAAAAAACTGAAAAAATTTTCATATGAGAGAACCGTATAAAAATCGATTTCTATATAGAATGTCCTCGAAAATAATGTGATCCTTAAAAAGATAAGAGTATATAATTCATAAACATTATGCCCTGTAAAAATTTTTCTTAGTCATCTGTTTTTCTAAATAGTCTAAGAGCCAGCGATAGTCAGACATGCGTTACTATGAAGCTTAGGATTTTTGATTTTGTGTACAGTATAGTAGGTAAGAACGTTTGCCGGGAAAAAATTTATAGTATGACTAATTTTTTAACATTATGAACGTCAACCAACAATTACCTGACACTTTTCATGGGGAGTAACCTTGGCCCACACATTCAAGGTCACAAAAATTTACGTCATAGTATAAAAGCTGTATTTTATGTTATTTATTTATATGTAATTATTTAATATTATTCCAACAGCCTAACACATCCGAAGAGTCTATCATTCCGCCAGATATAGTAAAAGGCAAAGTGTGATAGGATATACGAAAAATTTTAATTTCTTATTGACTTGACTGATAAACTCAACCAATACTCTGATTAGCACTTATATGCAAGTATCTTTCGTTTGCAGTCATGCCTGGTGTTTTACTGTGGCTGGAAGGATGTTAGATCTTTTTGATATGTCAGGCTATTCGAATATTATTAAAGAACATATATAAAATTCAGTTTTATTACTATAATACAAATGCAGCCATTATTTTATGGTCTGGAAAAGTGTCTGGCAGACGTTACCTCCGCGAAAAGTATCAGATAATTGTCGATGGAGTTTAAAATATTATCAGCTTTTATACTAAGTTTTTCCAAGACTTACCTGCCAAATATAACAGACAAACGTTCTTACCTCTTATAGTGTATACACAAATGAAAAATAATAAGCTAGGCACTCACTTTATAATAATTAAATATACTGAAGATAAAATGCGATCTAACTTTTGGAGATGCTGAGGTTGTGTGCAATAATACTCGTATTAATAAATGGATACAATGGCTTTTGTAAGCGTGTCAATTGAAGACACTTCAAACTTTTATTACTGCATATAATAAACAATTTTCAGCGATGTGGTCACTTTAAGTTTTCCAGATTTTTTCGAAATATGTAACTATTATGAATTTATTACTCTGTATCCGTACGTGAAAGAAAAGCACTTTTTATGAATATACAGTACGGAGGGCAAGATCACACCTGCTTTGCTTGAATTAAAGTGAATAATAGATCGTATTTGCATATGGACGAGAAGAAACAATATAGTGTCAATGTCATATATGCAGTTCATCTAATGTGGTAGGCTTGTACGCCCAACTGGCAACATCGATACTATATTGAATCTTCTCGCGCATATACGAACGCAATTAATTAATGTATTTATTTAACACAAGCAAAGCAAGTCCGAAGATTTGATCTTGAAAGGCACTGTATAGTATATACACAGCATATATTCCACTTTCTTTGTTTTTATAGAGTAAATAAAATTCAGTTTATCTAGAGATGTCGTATACGCAACAAAACCTTTAAGGTAAGTATATTTTTGTCAAATAACGTGTTAACTAGGTAGATCAATTTTAAAATTAAAAATATATATTAAACAACTTGATAGTTGATATCTTTAAGTAAAAAAACAAATATTGCATTAAAAAATTGATAAGATCATTTTACAACACGCATGTAACCAAATAAAAAATGAAAGTCCAAAACTCGCATTGTTACCTAAAACGGCTAACGATATTTTGGATTAATAAGTATCTTGGAGGAACTAAAACTTTTTCAAATTCGGCACTTACGAATTCTAAAAAAAACAATTTTATCCCATATATATAATATATAAGTCCGCTACATAATTCTCGTAACTGCAATATGTGGCAGTTCGTGAAATAAACAATAAAATTCTGTAGAATTAGAGTATTAAGTTTCACCATTTCCCAGCCAGGCGTGTAACTACCCCAACATATCTTATGACACTGTCTAAGAAAATATATATAATTGTTTATCTCAAAAAGTAAACTTAGGCTACACCACTGTCATTTATAAGTAAATTAAGGAAGAATTGCACATGTCTTAATGTTGATTTGTCGAAATTGCTATACACACGCAGTTCAAAGCATTTTTGAGGTACCATGCCCAATTATTAATAGATACATAAGCAATGAAGTAAGAATCAAGCAAAATCAATTTTCAAATAATCAGATAAAAGAGGGTGTAAGACAACAAAATTCGTTAGCAACATAATACGTGTTAAACAAGGAATTGTCCAGGGCCTGATTATTACGTATTAAAATATGCGCACATAGAGAGGAAGAAATAGAATAGAGACCAAATTTGTTATTAGAAGAGGACGCTAGAGACTGCTTCAGTATTAAACATTTTTATAAAACTAGAGATTGCTTATATGGCTATTAAGATTCACGCATATTTAAAAAAATTCCCATACACACTAATTTCTATGTAAACCCGTCCAATAAAGTTAATAAGTCTGGTGATCCAGTTGACCAGCAACTATTCCTCTGTATAAGTTTTGAAATTTTAACATTTATCAGTGATCTTTAAATGTGGCCAAGTGTCTAACAACAATCACACTAGTTGTCCTGTGTACGGGGTGCGTCAAGCTAACTTACTTTTTTTATATTGCAATAAAAAAAAACTAATAACTTCTTTTTTCTGTACAGAACCACTTTCCCTGAACGTTGTGACCCAAAAAAGAATTTATTTCCGGTCTGGGACAGGACACGATGGCGCAATATTGAAGCGATTTCGAAAAGCACGCTAGGGCGAAATCATCGGACGGCCGTTGGAAAAAATAGCCCTTTACGGCAAACGCACGCTGTTCGTTACTCAACCGCATGAAAGCGACTGAACCACATGGTCACATAACTTTAGGATCCCCTTTCTCGAACGACCCCAAGCCCACTCGCCTGGGGCTACCCTAGCGCTCATTTCAAAAAGGAAGTTTACTTGCCGCACCCTGCATAAGGGAATAATTTCGTTTCAAGTAACTCCAAAAAACTATATTTAAATGTTCAATGAAAAACTGCTCAAATAAGGGTATGTGCGTAAATGAAAAAAATATGAAAAAAATATACAAAAAATATGTACCACTAATAATTTAAAAATTTCCTTAAAAGTTAGTAAAATGTCACAAAATGACAGCAGTTACATAAACTGAACGCAAACAATATGACAAAAACAGTCTCAAGTCACTTTTTTTGTTGAAAAATTCTTATAAATACGCTAAATAAATTAATATTCTAATATCATTAAAGTTAAGCCACTCTATACTAATATACTTACATTAGAGTCAGAAGTCCATGATGCTTTTGTTTAACATATTTTGAAACGAGACTGAATGTCCCATTTTAAATATTAGTTTTTAATTTTGAAAATAAGAGAAATATAATTTTTATATCACCTTGTAGAATATTGCAAGCCGTTAAAATATTATGAAAACACACAGGTCACAAAATCTTTAAAATTTGCTATTTACAAAGTAGATATCATTAATAATTTATTTAGAAGATATATGCACTTTTTTTGAATCCTTAAATAAAAAAAAAACTAAAATTAAATTATGGAAATTTCAAAACGCCATAAATTTAAAAAAGAGAAAACTTTAGATATGCTGAGCGTTTTTTAAACAAATTCTGCAAACAGGTAGAGGAAAAGTATAAAATTATTCCAAGTGTGAGTATGATTGGTTCTGTATAGGATGATCCAATGAAACATGACGATTTCAAAAAATCAGCATTAACAAAACATCTTTTGCAAAATGTATTGATGAAAACATAATCTGCACGAATGGAAATTTTGTATAAGGGTGCAGTCGTTTTTGCATACACTTTTGCAGCCTAGTTGCAAAGTTACCGCTTCAGAATTCACGTCGAATCCTTTTAATGCTCGGGTTTACTTTAAAACATTTTTACACTTTCGCATGCAGACAAATTAGGAGAATGAGGTGGTCAAGAAATATCACCGTGCTTGCTCATAAAACGATCGGGAAACGCCCGTCTTACACAGCAAATGCTCATTGTTCACCCTACCAAGTATCCATGATAACTTCCCGTTCTCTAGATTCACAGGGTTGACATCCCAAACCCACCTCCCCTCTAGTTTCTCTGCAAAGGTGTTCCCAAATCGTCCTGTTAATTGCACCACCCTGTACAATTTGTAATTTAATCATGTTTACTCATAACATCATCAAAGATATCGTAACCGCCTTTAAAAATGTGAAATTTGAAACGTCAATAGTATGTATTTTGGATTTATTTAAAATTGTGTATTTGTGTTACATAGGAAGAAATAATAAGTTGTAAAACACTTAAGATTCCGATTCTCAAGAAAAAATCATGAATTTTTTTTAATGCTAGTCTTTATTAGAACCAAGAAATTTTAAATATTTTTTTATTCTTCTTGTCAATTAAATACATTAAAGACACTTA